CACCTGCCATGGTTGTGCACTTTCATCTTCTGATATTTTATGCCTCCCCAAATGTCTGTGATGAGAGCGAAGTAAAGAGAGAGCATGCAAAGCTTGACCCAACACATAGACAGCATTATAGATGCTATAGCTGTGCCCGGTCAACTGCATCTCAAAAAGAGCCCCAGGAACGTCCTGTAGCCTCTCCTCTCCAGTACAAGTGTGATTGTCCAGTAATGTTGCAGGAGGAGATGGCAATGAACAGTCAAACACTTGTTCCCAGAAGAGTGGAAAAAATCCATCTTCTTGAATCCAAGGAGGTTTTATCAACTGTAGGAATTCCTTGAACCCTGGGATTTCTTTTGAGGGAATTGTAAATAAAATGGCACCATCAAAGAACTGCAGATGAAATCCTCTTTGCATTCCTGTTATTAGGTAATCAATCTGGGCAGTCATGATCCATACCTTTCCAAAGGAACTCTGCTCTAGTCCATGAGCAAGCAGGAAAATTGTATCAAGTACCCATGCAATTGTTAAAGATTCTCCACAGATGATAAAGGTATTGATCTTCTCATCAATTATGCGGGTCAAAATATTTTCCCCTTTCTGAAACATTGCAAATATTTTATCCCAGTATGTTAAATATGGAATTCTTTCTGTACAAGCAGAGCAGATTCCATGCTGGGCAAGGAGGGGCTCCATGGTCTGGAGAAAACGTTCTCCATGCCGATTATCAATAGCAAGGAGCCCAACCCATCTCCAGCCAAAAAGCTGCAGCAGTCGGATAATCCCAATGTACTGTGAGGACTCATTTGGGACCATGGAGTAATAGAAGGGAATCTCAGCACTATGAATATCCTGTGGGGCAAATGACCCATATGTGAGCTAAAAGGAAATAAACACATATTATAGAAACATATCAGGATCAGTTAATAGTTTTTGTTGTTGTTCTTTGTTTGGTTGCTTGTTTGTTTCTTTCCCTTATTTGAGACACTTATATTGGCTCACAAATTTAGTCAAATTCTTGAGCCATGTGGCCATGGTTCAGAGGTTGATCCATATTTGAGAGCCACAGTGTGGAAAAAGAGAGGAGGGTGATTTTCCTGCCTCCATCCTCCAAAAACCTACCTGTGGAATCTTGTAAAATTGTATGAGGTCTGCCACATAGGAGGAGGTTTCAGAGGTAAGTCCTCCAATGATAGAAATGAGCTTTTTCCTGGTGTCACATTTGTAGTTCGGGACAAATCTCTGTGATCTGAAGAGCAGGTCCAGGGTGGTTCGATAGGTCATCATTGCATTGTAGTAGCTGTCATGGATATGGAACCCAAGACTGACATTGGACAGGATTTGTGGATTCTCATTGATCTCCTTCACAGCAAAGGCCAAGGAAAGCACATGCTGGTAGAATTTTGTTAGCACGCTAAAAAAGGATGATTTCTATGTCTCATTATATCTTTCTAGATTAATTCCCCAGGACCTCACAGAGGTGCTTGGGGAACTAGAGAAAGGCTGGTCCACCTTTATCGACAACTCCAATACACTGAAGTAGCTACTGTGATTTCCACTGTTGATGAAATCACAAAATGTTTTAGCAGATTTCCCTCACAGATACAGTTTTCCTAATGAGAAATAGGATAGCATCTGATCACATTTCACTCAAAGTACTGTTCTAGACTTTTAAGCAAACATTGGAAAGTAATATTTGCTTAGCAAGTTCCAGGAGACTCTTGTTCATACGTCAAATTGTTATGCCAATCAGAACAGGTGGCATTCTAATTGTACATTATATTTGGAGAGAGAAAAGATGCTTGCTATTTCTCACATATTACTCATCATTTGCATACCACAAATGTTTTTCAGTGCATTAAACAAAACTAAAAAGCCAACACGATACAGCCTTGAGTAAATGAGACCTAAACCACTAGCAAACCAGTGTTCCCAGAAAGAAGGAAATGAAGATTAATTGTTCTTCCTGAAGGAAAGCGATATGAGGGATTAAAAGCATGCCCCTTGTGTCACATCGACTCAAATCCATTGGCCTGCGCTGACTACAGGTCCCTTCTAGGTGGATGTGGTTCAGGTTCTGCAGACTAAACTGATTCATCTTTTGTGTTATTCGTTTGGCAATAAAACAAGGCCTACAACATGCAAACATTGACATCTGGGAAAATGGGAGAAATGGGGGAAAAATGAAAGGAAACTATAGTGGGTGAGGAAAGAAAGTGGGAGATGGGGAGTCATCTGAAAAGGAAGGAAAGAGAAAGGTGTTTGGAACTTGATGGCAATCACAGCAGGCTCTTATGACAAAAGAGCAACTTTCACACTTCTAATAAGTTTACTATTTTGCAGATGTCAATATATATTTCCCCCCAAGTATTCTGCTTCTGATGTAAACTAGGCTTCCTGCTCTAATGTTTCACATTTTCCTATATAGAATTTTGCTTCAATTAAAACAAGCAATATTATTAGGAAATCCCATATTCCAGTATGCAGTATCTTTCATCAAACAGGGTTGACATCATGAGAGCAAACAATCTAACTTTCTTTCCAGTCATTGCAATTCCTCTCCCTAGAGATGCCACAAAGCGGAAAGATAAGAATTCCTTACTCTGGATGTGCAAAATACTCCTGAGAGGGATCTAACTTTCTTTCCAGTCATTGCAATTCCTCTCCCTAGAGATGCCACAAAGCGGAAAGATAAGAATTCCTTACTCTGGATGTGCAAAATACTCCTGAGAGGGATGCTGCTGAAATAAAACTTCACTAAATTGGTAATTAGCCATAGATACCATTAAACCAATGACAAGGTCCCCTTGCTGGTACCATTGATTTGGAACCATGACCGGATCACCTGGATGACACGGCAGAGACTTCACTCTGAAGAGCGGAAATATGAGAAGAAAGAACATTCTGGGCAGCAAATGCTCTCTGAATAGAGAAGCTCCACCAAGACCAGCTTCTCAATTTAGTATATCTTCGCCTGCCTCAAAACTCCTGTTAAGAGCAATATTTCATGCTAACAGTTAGTACTGTTTCTGCTTGGATCTGGTGCTAACACTCAAGAAGATTTAAATCACAGCAAAACAACTTAGTTTGGGGCAGCTGAATTGACAGGACTTGTCTGCCCTTTTCTTCTACTCCCAAGTCTCCACGGGACAGACATTTCTTTCTATTTTTGTCATGTCTCTAATGTCTTCTTCAGCTGTTTACACCTTTGACCGAGGGAACAAATTACTATCATTGGAATAATTCTACTGGGGAGAAAATTATTTCTTCAATATTTTGTGTCCCATTGCTGGCCATTGTTTTTACTTTTTTACTTTTTACTTTTTTATCCAGAAGTTCAAAGCAACAGCCATTTTCCATGGGAAGTATTCTTTTAATTAATTTCAAAATCTTATTTCAAATCCATCTGGACCTCAGTCCATTTACAACTTTCCAAAAACAACACTCTAATTACCCATTTGCCATTCATTCTAAGTCCTTAAACTCATACTTAAAACTTCTTTTGTTATGAATTGAAGGAAAAATATCCAGTGAATGCCATCAACCTTGCTTTTCCAAAGGTTCTTCGTATTTATAAAGCAGTAAAAAGGTAATTCCAAAAGTGATTAAGAAATGAGTTTTGGCTGAACTTTGTGTCCATATAGGCTACATTATGGTTGTGGGTGTAGATGGAGTCCCTTGACTCCCAGCTGCTCACCTCACCAGCCAACCACAAAAATCTTGGTTCCTGCACTCTACTTATGAGGAGCAGCTGTCCAGAGTACTTGTGGGCAATCTCATGATCTCTCCTTTCTTCAGAGAGATTATGCTGGATAGGATCTGCCCACTGGCCATTGAACTCTGCCGTAATGCCATCCTCGCTCCTTCAGTGATATCTAGCTCACCATGTCCTCACCAGAAGTTCCATTCTACTTTTTAATACAGAGTGAAACTTATCCATCTAACTATCAGTTTCTCATGCTTTGTGGGAATAATAACTATCAAGTGGTTAAAAGAGTCTCTATGTCAATGGATAGATGAGAGATAGATATATGATGATAGATAGCTAGATGACAGCTAGATGATAGATAGCTAGATGAC